CAAGCTCTCCAATCCCTTTGGTGGGCCACAAGCACCTTATTTGCAAAGTTCCCCCCAATTATTTGGTGGAAGTTACAAGATCAGGGCTAGAAAGGCCATATAAAAGTAATTCATCATATCACACTACACTTACCCTGTCTCATTAACACAATAAAGACAATCCATTCCCAAACGGGATTTAACCACAAGCATAGAGGTTAGGTTTTACAACACATATTTTTTTGGGGGACCCAACTCAATCTACAACACAGATTATGATAAGAGCTTTGAAAGAAAAACTCAGATACCTGTGAGAGCACTCAGCAAGTGACCTGAATCAGTCTGTGTGGGGTGGTCAGACCAGACTTCCCGGAAGTGATACTGGAGTTGATAGCTGAAGGATCAGTCAATTAACTGGAAGGTGGGTGGTGATGGTGAGGGGTGATAGGTGAGGAAGAGCATCCAGGCATAGAGAACAGAGTGTGCAAAGGCAGTTTGGTGGGAAGGAATGTGGTACATTTCAGGAACAGAGAGAAGACTCATGTGGCTTGAGCACAGTCTGGCTAACCACGGTATGGAGTTTACTTGCCAAATCCTGTGGAGCAATAGGAGCAAAGGGGTGCTATTGAGAAATGTTAAGGTTTTTAAACAACAAATGTCAAGATCTGAATTTGTAAAGAAAGATCCCTGAATGAATAATTTATTTTATAAGAATCAGCACAAAACTGGTTCCTATGAGGGAGAGATTTAAGAGGTCCCAAATGTTCCACTTCTCCAAACTGCTATAGCACTTCATGATCTCTAACACCAATACTCCTTCACCCCTCAGTATTCTTCCTCCCATCTTTAGGTTCAGTAATTCACTGCAAGGTCTTACAAAACTCAAGAACTGGTAGTTATAACATTATGGGGTTTCTAGGGAAGCAACAGGTTACAACCAGGGATCAGCATCTACTCAGAAGTAACAGGAACAACTCAGGATATATATAGTTCTTCGAGCAGGATGGCTTCTTCTCTGTTTCTGCCACTGGGTCCTTGTTGCTGCTGGTCTCTTGGTTCCTGCCATCTTGTGCTGCTCTTGTTCCTGCTGCTGCTGCTGCTGCTGCTACACCGTCTCCAGTGTTACAGCTCCTTCTTTCTCTCTCCATTTCTCTCTCGAAAACCTCTGTCAAGGAAGTTAGTCATATAGGAAGCTCCTTATTAATTTCAAGGCTTACTCTCCACCCCAGCAAGATAACAAATCAACCAATCCCCTACAGGGGTTCCATGCACCTTATTTGCATAATCCCAGCCAGTTATTTAATGGGAATTAAAGACCATGGTTAGAAAGGCCATATAAAAGCAATTCATTGTACCACAATGTCTCTGGAGAATGAATTCTAGAAGGAAGATGGGAAACAGGGAGATTGGTTTGGAGATACCTGCAACGTCCAGGCAAGAGGTGATGGTGGCTTGCAGTAAATTTGGAGGGAAGTTGGATAAATTTAAGTAATGAGAAGCATGGAATTTTAGAGCTGGAAAACACTTTTCTAAAATACATTTTTTTATGTGTGTGGCAAATATACAGGCAACAAAACATTTGTTAGTTCAATAATTTTCACATGTGTAGCTCAGTGACATTAAATATGTTCATCAGGTTGTCAGTAATCACCATTATTCATTCCTGACTTTTTCTATTACCTTTAACAGAATGGAAGATACTTTAAACCAACAAACCATTACTCAGTAAGTACCACAATAGACACGAATAACAAAGAGATTATTAAAATCTGCTTGTTATAGAAAAGCAGGTTAAGGACTATACTAAGCTAATTAAACTGCTTTTCTGTAACAAGCAGACTTTAATAATAAACTCTTTGTGTCTATCATGGTGCTCTGGTAGCGTAGTGCCTAAGGCACTTGACTGCTAACCAGAAGGCTGGCTGTTCAAACCCACCAGCCACTCCTCTTAAGGAAGATTGGACAATCTACTTCCTTAGTGATACTGCCTTGGAAACCCAAGGAGGGGTCACTATGAGTCCCATCCGACTCGATGGCACATAACAACAACAATCATGGTGCTTGTTGAATAACAATTTGTTTGTTTAAAGTATCTTCCATTCTGTTAAAGGTGATGGGAAAATTCAGGAATGGAAAGAAAGATTCAGAGAGAAATGTTTGAGAAGGAGGAAAAAGGTGGGAAATATAAGAGAGTTGAGGATTATAATAAAAAGAAGAAAGGAGAATGAAATGAGAGAGAGACAGAGTAAGAAAGGTGTTTGAAATCTGAGAGGTGTATTAGGGGAAAAAGACACCATTTTCAAATATATCCTATAGAGATCTTTTATTAAGCCTTAAACAGTCCAAAGACAAAACAAAGACAATCATCTGGATGAGGGAAACCATCAGCATGAGGCCAATGGTGTCTGCCAACTCAGCCATGGTTTTCATTATATATGAGAGAAGACGAAGGAAATCATCACAAGGTCATGACTGGTGGCAGGTCAATCCATTACTGTTGCAGGTGGGACTACATCAGCAAAGAGAGATCATGGTTGGGATATGCACACTGTGTCTGGTAAAGCAGCTGGTCAGTGACAAAGAAGAAGACCCTCAATCAGATGGATTGACAGTGTGGCTGCAACAAAGGGCTCAAGCACAAGGTAGGTACAAGGCAATACCAGGACTCCAGCTTTTAACATAAATTAGATAACATCATTTTTGATAAACCATTAAGGACACACCCAGGCAAGTTCCCTAGTTCTTTGTTTGTGTGAGCATAACTTACTGAGGACAAACTGTCCCTCCCTGGGCTCGTCCCAGCCTTGTCTAAGCATAGCCATACTGCTGGTTTAATCATCAGAAAGAACTCAACCGGAGCCTGAACTTATGTCAAGACTCAAAATGGAGTTAGGGCTCCAACTGTTGACCACTGTAGATCGTAATGCAATGCAACGCCAATACAACCATTGCCATGGAGTCGGATCCGACTCATAGCGACCCCTCCTTGGGTTGCCGCGGCACTATCACTATGGAAGTAGATTGCCCAATGAGCCTTCCATAAACTAAGGGTGTTAGAATTTAAGCTCTAATGCAGAAGTGTGAAGAGCCTGTAGGAGAGGATGACTGGGAGAAGACTGGGCTTGAAGAAGGATAGGGCCAATGATAACGCACACAAGAACAAGAAAAGAACGACTAATTGGTGATGCTGGGCTCCAAGGGAATTGGAGATGATTAGGAACACAGGACTACTAAAAGAGGAATATGGGATCAGGAGCAGGAAGGCAGAAATGATAAGAGAAAAGAGAGACAATAAGAGATGGAGATGCTTGGAAGTGATGGAGGGAGGAAGGGTGGGGCAACAGCTTGTTGTTGTTGTTGTTGTTATGTGCCATCGAGTTGGCCCCGATCCCTCCTTGGGTTTCCAAGGCAGTTATCACTACGGAAGTAGGATTGCCCAACCTTCCTTCCGAGGAGTGGCTGGTGGGTTTGAACCGCCAGCCCTCTGGTTAGCAGGCAAGTGTCTTAGCCACTATGCTACCAGAGCTCCCGGGCAACAGCTTAGGGAGGGAAAGAACCAAGGAGTGGGCAGATTCAAAGGCCCTGTTAGATGGTCCAGGTGTTAGGAAGGACATCAAGGTGAGGTGGTGGGAGAGTGCACACAGATAGACAGTTCCAGGCTGACAGAGAAGGAAAATGTGGTGGGGAAGAGGAGTGGTGGATACAGGTTTCAGAAAACTCTAAGGGGAATGATGCGTGTGACATACACTCACACCTGAGCTTTTTCTCTATCCCTCCACCCTGCTGGTCTCTACTAGATGGAGCCTTGATGCCGGAAAAGGGGGGGGGGGCGGGACTAGGGACAGGACCCGAGGTAGGGTGGAAAAGGGCCCAAGTATTAAGTCATATCAGGGATCAGAATGGGGGGCCTGAAAGATGGGGATTTTGGGGTGTCATGCCCAGAAGCCAGGTCTCTGTTGGAAGGCCGGGCCAGGGTGGGAAAGGGACAGCTCAAGAGAAGTGCTGGGGTGGTGGCTCTGGGAGTGGAGACCTTAAAGAAGGCTGCAGAGGAGGCGTGTTCTGAGAACTTGAGGCCGGGTCCTTAAAGGTGTGATCTCCAGGGAAGGAGACTGAAGAAAAAGGGAAGGAGCAGAGGGTGGGGATGAAGGGACAAAGAGGGGAGGGACAAAAAGTATTTAGAGCCGAAACCCAGAGTCCCGGCGGGGAGAAGGCGGAGTCGAGGCTGGAGGGGGCGTCCCCAGCTCTGGCTCCGCAGCGTCCCGGGAGCACCTGTTGGAGAAAGAGAAAGGGCCATCCCTGGTTCCTAAGGGAAGTCCACTCCGGAGGAGCTGGGATTGCCAAGAAGCCAAAGCCTCCTCACCACCTGCAGTCAAAGCACGGCAAGTGAAGGGGCGTGACCCTGGTGCTCAGGTTTCTTCCTCCTTACCTGGGCTAGGAGGAGTAGGGGCCAGGACTTCCGGTTCAGGTGAGTGTCCCTTTGGTGACGTCAAGTCACCCTCGGCCGCCCCTTCGGTCCCGCCTCTCCCCTCCTGCGCGTCCCAGGCCACAGGGGCGCGCCCCTGACGCCCTAGATATACTCAGATGCGCCGCACCTGTCGGCCTGCACCTGCCTGCCGACCGCGGAGAAGCCTCTTCCCGGCCCTAGACCCTCGGGCCAGCCGCCCGGGGTAGTTCTTTGAGGCCTGCCAGGACCCGGCACCGCGCCCATACGGCCCCTCCACCTTGTTTGGGTAGGGTCGCCCGGGTGGCGCCGGAGGGGTGCCCGATCTTTGAGGGCAGCTTTTCTTTGGAGCCACTCCTCGGGCGTAGCCCTGCCTCCTCTGCTGCTCGACCCTCGCCCCGCCCGAGGGATCGGTTTGAGTTCACTTTGTGTGAACGAGATTTGCAGCAACTGACCGAAAACTTTGTTTCTTTGGGTGATTTAAAATTTTACCCCAACTTGCCTTTGTGTGGGGTTGCCCCCCGAGTTTTGTGTGCTGCAGGGTCGCCCTCTCGGTGCCGAGTCTTTTCTGAGGGCGGAAATGGCCAATTCAGGCCTGCAGTTGTTGGGCTTTGCCATGGCTCTGCTGGGCTGGGTGGGCCTGGTGGCTTGCACCGCCATCCCGCAGTGGCAGATGAGCTCGTACGCGGGAGACAACATCATCACGGCCCAGGCCATGTACAAGGGACTGTGGATGGACTGCATCACGCAAAGCACCGGCATGATGAGCTGCAAAATGTACGACTCGGTGCTCGCCCTGCCAGGTAAGGCCGCGAGACCCACGGGGCAGTCGCGCCCAGGGTCGAAGTCGGGAGTGGGGTGCAGGGCAGGGCCAAGGCCCAACAGCCGGGGTCGGGCGGCAGCACGTGGGCTGCCAGGACCCTCCTGGTCTCGGCTGGGCTCACCTCGCTGCTGCTGCCCGCGGCCCAGCCCCAAGTGGGGGCCCGCGGTCCCGGGCCGGGGCCACTCCCTCCCCTGTTTCGATGACCAGGCCGCGGCCTCCGACCTCTCCCGCCCTTTTCTTCCGGACAATGGCGGGGGCAGGGCTGAGGGCCCGGGCCTCGCGCGTTCTGCTAGGTGCAGGCAGCCGCCTGCGACCTCTAATCTTATCGGCCGATTATTAGCCAAAGCCACAAACCCGGTCGCTTCGATAGCGGACTCCGAGCTGGGACGCGGGCCAGGGCCTGCGGCGGCGCGCAGGCTCGGGTCGCGGCCCGGCTCTTCGCGGCCCCGGGTTCACCCTTCCCCCTCTCCGGGGCAGTTTCATCGAAACCCTGGCGCCCCCAGCGGCTCCCTGGGCGGAGAGGGCGGGGCGGGAGCAGGAAGGCCGCGACGTCGGGAGGGGCGGGACCCGGCCGGCCGCGGCTCGGGCAACTCCTGCCTAGGGCCCCAAGGCCGCCGGCGGCATCCGCGTGCCCCGCACATGAGGGTCCAGGGGTTATTGGGTGCGGCCGGCGGCGACTGAATCACCAGCAATGACGGCGGCCCACCTCCTTCCCCGCAGCGGCCCTGCAGGCCACTCGAGCTCTGATGGTGGTGTCTCTCGTGCTGAGTTTCCTGGCCATGTTCGTGGCCTCGATGGGCATGAAGTGCACGAGCTGTGGAGGAGACGACAAAGTGAAGAAGGCCCGCATAGCCATGACCGGAGGCATCATTTTCATTGTGGCAGGTGAGCGACGGCACCGCTTCCCAGTCCCGAAGGAGCAAGGGTGAGCAAAGCGCGGGGTTAGGGCTCACACTATGTCTGAATGGCCGTCCTTTCTCCAGGTCTGGCTGCCTTGGTAGCTTGCTCCTGGTATGGCCATCAGATCGTCACAGACTTTTATAACCCCTTGGTTCCTGTGAATCTCAAGTAAGTTTGGGAATCCTGCCTCCTAAAGGGGCAGGTCTGGGGTCCTGGGGTCTGGAGGAGGGCAGAGGCAGACAGGATTTCTAATCCCAATTCCTTCTCTTCACAGGTATGAGTTTGGTCCTGCCATCTTTATTGGCTGGGCAGGGTCTGCTTTGGTCCTCCTGGGGGGCGCGCTGCTTTCTTGTTCCTGTCCTGGCCCTGAGAGCAAAACTGGGTACCGGCCACCCCGCTCCTACCCTAAACCCAACTCTGCCAAAGAGTATGTGTGACCTGGGACTTCCTTGCCCCAGCCTGACAGCTTGGATGTGTCTAGAAGCCTGAAAGGACCTGGATCAGAGAGCTCAGCCTGTGGGCAGGGTGCCTGGCAAGACCTCCTGGTCGCCCTAGCCCTGCTGCACACCGTGTACAGTCCCCTGGGGAGTTGGGTGGGGGAAACAAATAAAAGGGAGAGCGTGCTTTTTGTACAGTAATAAAAAATGTTTTGGAAATCAGGCTTTTTTCCCTTCAGGGCCTCTTCTTCTGGCCCATACCCTAGCATGGAGCCCAGAGCCTAAGTGCACCTACTTTCAGCTCAGTTCAAAAACACTTACTGGGCACCAGTGATGTGCAAAATGTCCCGTCCGTCTCCCCCGGCCCCTTGCATTGTAATTCATGTGCAAACACCATGGCTACTGACTCTCAACCCTTGCTTAAATAGCTATCAGTTTATTTCTTAGTAAAAAAATAAAGATTTTATTAGGCACAGGGGAGGGTCCTATTCTTTTACATTCCTCTATGCTCTCACCCCATTTTCTGCCCTGGTCAGCCCCTCCTCCCTCGCTCAGAGGGGTCCCAAGGCAGGGCCTCCACAGACACAGGTGTGGAAGAGGGGACAGGGCATGGCAAATAATGGAAGGTGATGGTTCTGGGCCCAGGTTCTTTCCTCTCCCATTCCAAATGCCGTCTATTCAAATCTGGCCAGTCAAACATCTAGATCATCATCTGGGTCTTCTTGGTCCAAGTCATCATAAACATCTGGCTCGTAGAAGATACGGCTGGTAGCCTGGCCTGGCCCAGGACGCAGCAGGGCCTGCTGTCTGAGGAGGGGTAAAGGAAAAAGTGATGCTGGTTAGAGTGGGTCATATGTTTGTATCCAGACGCTGTTCTTCCTGGTGGCCCTCGCTTGAGCAATTCCTGTTAAATCTCCATGTTGTTTTCTTGGCTTAAGTTCACCCCCCTTTCTCTCCTTCCATGTTTAGTTAGTGCTAAAGCACCATTTGGTACTAGGATACTCTTGTACTGTTCTAACAATTTAAGTTCTTAACAGCTTGAGGGCAAGGATCCTTAGTTTTGCTTCTTCCACCCACACACTGGGCACAACAGAACAGCAGGCATTTACAAGCCCTTGTTAAACTGCCTTTGCCACACCCATCTAGTTTCCTGTCTACTTCGCACTGTTGCCTGGAGATAGGGCCACAGCCTAGGCCCAGGGTGCACTGAGGACAATTTTGAACTGGTCCCAAGGCTCTAAAGGAGAGAAAAGATACATAAAGGTGCTCTGCCATGGTGTGGGTATAGGTAGGTAGAGAACCACACCCCAGATTTGTCTTGAGGTGGACTTTAGCCCCTATAAAGAGTCTGAGAGGTTAATCAATTACATGCAGTCACCCCACCTCTCTGGCCCAGCTGCTGAGCTCAACTCAGGGACCTGGGCACATAGGCTGCAACCTTACTTTTCAGAGCTGAACTGGAAGGGCAGGGTCAGGCTATCTTTGGCTTCTTTTTCTTTCTTGGACAGGCGAAGGTTAAAGGTTAAATGAGTTGTGGGATCCACCTGTGGATACAAATGATGCTGTCACTCTGTCCCAACTCTGGAATCTCGGCCCCTTCCCTGAAGTCTTCATCTTTTATTCATCCCTTTCCTTTCAATAGACCCCCAAGCTTCATTTCCTTGCTCTGTCCTTCTTAGATACCTGGGTGGTGGGAGAGTCTGGGTGAGGCTGAGACTCTCGGGGGGGTATGCCTTGGAGATTCAGGCTGAAGTCAGGCAGGATGGAGAACCACTGAGTCTGGGAAGAAAAAATGAGTTAAAAGGTTTTTGTTTTTTTTTTCCCAAAATTTGCTGAGTAAACCAGACAACAACTCAGGACCTAACACCCCTAAACCCCAATCTCTGTACAGCTAGCTACTTTCACCTTCTGCCTCAACTGTTAACTCTTCTTCCGAGCTCTCCAAATGGACTTGTCCCTTTTTCCCCATAGTAACCCACCTGTCTTTTGTCCTTTACCATTTCCAGGAGGCAGTAACTTTCTGTGGTTAAGCTCACAGGCTCTGAGTCAAACAATGCTGAATTCAAGTAAGTAAGGTCTTATACTTATTCCTGTAACCTTGGGTAAGCAAGTAACTTCAATTTAACCCTCCCTGGACTTGTTTCAGAGGGATCTCTAGTGGTGCTGTGGTTAATGCACTGGATTGCTAAGCAAAAGATGGGTGGTTTGAACCCACCAGCCCCTCTGGGAGAAAGATGAGGCAGTCTGCTTCTGTAAAGATTTATAGCCTTGGACACTCTAAGGGGGGCAGTTCTACTCTGTCCTATAGCGTTGCTATGAGTTGGAATCAATTTGATGGCAGTGGGCTTGGTCTTGTTTCCCAATCTGCAAAATGGGGCTAACATTCTATTTCACTGAGTAGCTGTGAATATTAGATGAATGACTGAAAACAGGGAAACAATCATATTAGCTTTCTTGTTGCTCTTTCCAACATGTTTCCCCTTTCTCTGACCCCAATCTCCTGCCCTCCTGTTTCTTCTTACCTGATGGGTTGGGCGCTGTCGGGGCCTCCGATAGAGGATGTGGGCTAACAGCTGGCCCAGCATACCACTCAGGGTCACCTCTATCTGAGCAAGGCTACTCAGTGCTCCCAGAGGGCCAGGGCCATGAAGGTCTTCATGTAGCAGGCCCAGCACATGCACCCGCTCCACTGGGGTGCTGCCATCTGGGGAGGAACAAGAAATGTAGGGCTTGGGATGTAACAGTGAAAAGGAGAAAGAGAAGCCCCCATTACACTGCAGCTCTGCCACAATCCTGATCTACCTTAGCCAAGTTTGCCACCTTTCTTTAAGCCTTGTTCAACTCTCCTTTAATATACTTTCTTAACCAAATGTAAATCAGATCAGTGTACCACTACAACTTCAATCCTTCAGCAGCTCCTCTTGGCTTTCAAGATGGTATTAACACCTTCATCATCTAGTCTCTGCTTTCCAGCCTCGTCTCTTACACATGGAATGACCCACAGTTTCTGGAACTTGCCAAGATTTGTCATTGTTTTTGATTTGCTCCTTTTTGGAGCATTTACAGTGTCAGGCAATGTACTTTAATAAAACATTTTAATCACAGAGGTCAGCATTTCCAGGTTGAACTATAGGAAATTGCTGATATCTGACCCTTTTTGAGATAAAAAAATGGCAATTTCAAGTGGTTCATTCTAGAACTGTTGTTGTTAGGTACTGTTGAGTGTGCTCTGACTCGCAGTGACCTACGTGTGAGAGAAGGACACAACGCCTGGTCCTGTGCCACCCAGCAAAGCGTTGCTCGCTGGAGTCCACTGTTGCAGCCACTGCGTCAACCCACCTCACTGAGGGTCTTCCCCTTTTTCACTGACCCTCTACTTTACCAAGCATGACATCCTTCTCCAGGGAATAGTTCCACCTGATAACATGTCCAAGGTACGTAAAATCAAGTGTCATAATCTTTGCTTCTAAGGAACGTTCTGGTTGTACTTCTTATAAGACAGATTTATTGTTCTTCTGGCAGCCCATCATATGTTCAATATTCTTCACCAACACCATAATCCAAATGCATCAATATTCTTTGGTTTTCCTTATTCATTGTCCAGCTTTCACATGCATACAGCGTGAATGAAAATATGGCTTGGCTCAGATGCACCTGTCTTCAAAGCGACATCTTAGCTTTTTAACACTTCTGCAGCAAACTTGCCTGGCTGATTCTTCCAGGCAATGCCTTTCTTGTGTATGTCTTTATCATCATGATCCTTATTAGACTATCTAGTAACTGTCTGTTAATCTTTTATGGAACCCTGAGCTCCTGGAAAGTAAGGACTCAACTACAAAGTTAGTCTTTATTTTCCCATTACCTAGAATCATACCTGACACATTGTACATACTTAATGTTTGTTGAATGAATGAATGACCAAAATGAGAGAGTGAAAAGGAACTTGCAGAAGAGAAAAACAATTGATAGATGGCAGGCATTATGGAAAAGTCAAGAACTAGGAAAAACGATTAGGGAGAAGGTGTACAAGGTGTAAGAAATGAGACTTCAAAGTAAGCAAAGACCAGATGAAGAAAGGATCAATACCATCCTGAAGGCCACCAAGAGCTGATGGAGGATTGAAGTTCTAGTAGTACCTTGATCAGACTGACATTTGAACAACAGCAGGTCTTTGTTATGTTTTTTTGTTTAGGGTGGAAAGGAAAGGGGTTACAGTCCTTGGCAATGGGAGAGGAAAGAGGCTCACCAGGGTGGGAGTCTCGATGGCTCAGAGCACGTAAGGTCTGGCACACCGTGGTGCACGGGAGGTGAAGCAGCAGCCAGCTGAGTGAATCGAGAGCAATGGTAACAGGATCAGAATGTGTCCTCCTGCACAGGGCTCTCAAGGATGCCAGGGGCCCTCCAGGAAGGGCCTCTTCAGTCTTTGACCAGTTGAGAGGATCTCTGAAGAAGTCATGGTAAACCAGACTGCAAAGGGAAAACAGGAGACAACACAATACTGCTCCTTGTTCCCCACCTCAAACTTCAACTTTTTTTTTTTTTATCTCAGTGATGATCTAAACACTGAGAGGCAGACCACAGTGTTTGACAGCACAGACTTTGGAGTCAAGACAGTCTAAAGCTCTAAGCTTGGCTTTGCTATTTCTCCAAGGTCATCTAGCCAATAAATTACTTAGCCTAAGACTCAGTTTCTTCATTTGTAAAATAATGCCTCTTGGCATTTAGCAATGCTGACACATATTAAATGCTTGCTGTTATCATCAGCAAATATTTCCTAAGTGTCACCTAAAGTGTATCATTCTCTGGATAGATAAAAGAAAAAGTAGAGGATCTTAGACATGGTTCCTGCCTATAAGGCATCTTAGGAAAAGTCAAGAATTAAATCATGACATACTAACTACAGACAAAATAGAAGTTCAGGAAAGGGAGAATGGTATGGGCTAGAAATCCTAGGAGAGCTTCCTGGTGGCAGAACTTGTTTCCAGGTACCTTCTTTCTATCTTCTGCTTCCCTTATGAATGCCATGTTAACATATAGTAACACCTCTACCACAACAATGGCCTCAAATTTAAGGCTCAAAAAAAAAAAAAAAAAAACACAACACTGTTACCAGACCTCCACCTGGTTCTACTGAAACACTTAGTCAAGTAGTGACTGCAGGCAAAAAAAAAAAAAAAAGTACAAATTATTAGTATTCAGTGAGCTATTCAAATTAAGAAGTAGAAAACATTCTACTTATGATCTTAATCTGGACTGCCTGAAGAACAAAAAAATCTGTCCACATGAAGTGCAGCCAGGATGACCCTTGGAAGTGAGAATGGCCAGACTTCATCTCACCTACTTATGTTGTCAGAAGGGACCATTCCCTGGAGAAGGCTATCATGCTTGGTAAAGCAGAAGGTGGGTGAAAAAGGGGAAGACCCTCAATGAGATGGACTGACACAGCCGCTGCAACAATGGGCTCAAGCACAGCAAAGATTATGAGGACGATACAAGATCAGGAGGTGTTTTGTTCTCTTGTACAATGGGTCGCAATGCGTCAAAGCCGACTTGATGGCACCTGACAACAAGAAGGTCCTTTTAGTGTTATCCTAAAGGCTGTGGAGAGTCATTGAAAATTTAGGAGCAAGACAGTGACAAGATGAAACCTATCAGAAAACCTAGTCCAGTGATGACAATGTGGAGGATGGATTGGAAGGGGCAGCCTGGAAACAGGGCAACTGGGTAGAAAGGCTACTGCAATAATCTAGGTTCACAGGTCCCAAATGCCATCCCTAAAGTGGCCTTTAGGATAACACTAAGCTCATACAGAGACCTTTTAGAATCAGGTGGCTGCTCATCCATGTGACCTGTTATCCCAGGAAGCTCTACCACCTCCCTAATTTTGCATATGCTGTTCCTTCTGCCTCTAACGTTCTTCTGTAGTCTGTAGTTGTGTTGATTTGGAACCCATCTTGGATTAATCACCATCAGACTCTAAGTAACTCAAAAGACAGAGCATGTTTATTCTTATCCTCCAATAAGACTGTTGAAAAATTGTACTGTCTGCTCTTTATTATTATAATTTTTTAACTTTTTTTTTTTTTTTTTTTTAGGATTTGGGTGAAGATTTACAGAGTAAATTCACTTTTCATACAGCAGTTCACATATACTTTGTCTCATGTCACTGACCAAAATTTACAATGCAGCAGCTCCCCTCCCACTTCCTCCCCATATTATTATAATTTTTTAAAATGTTTCAACTTCTATGCTTTGTATTTTTAGATATTCACCACTCTTTATCATTCCTCTTGGTAATTTTCTCCTCCTGAAAGACCCTGGTCTATCCCTTCAATGAATAAGTAGGGGCTACTATGTACCAGGTTCTGTTATTGCACTAAGCGAGTTGTTTAGCAACACAGATCCCACACCCAATTATATCTCTTCTAGATTTGTACTTCGTTGCTGGCGAGCCGATTTTCGACTCATAGCGACCCTATGTGACTTACCGGCTGTTAATATCGGAGTCAAAACCTTCACGAAACTCTTCCTCGCTAACTTCACAGCCCAGGATGTAGACTTGCTTCCCACTGAAGCACAGATGAGGTGGAGTGTCAAAAGAGGGGGACCCAGGCTGCCTTCCCGGCTGGACAGGGAGATACTACGGAATACTTACCAGAGTGCAGATTTCTTGATAAGCGCCTTCAAGAGACTGCGACCCTCCCACTCCACCGAGTCTGGGGAGAGCAGATAAGCAGTGAGAGGCTTTCACGCGCCCATGGCCATCTCCACCCTTAGTCCGTGACTCATGGCCCTTCCTCTCCATTAGTGCTCTCTGAGCCAGCCCTAGAAATCCCTGCGCCTCTGCTGCTCACCCCGAAGTAGTACCAAGCCCCCAAGGGTCAACAGCGAATCCATCTTCGGCTCCAGTTCCGCACCTACTCGGGCGCCCTCTGATGACGTCACGGCCCGTTGCCCAGCCCACTACGGGTGAAAGGGGTGTGGCATTAATTACTTCTTCCACCCTAAGCCAAGGCATAGTTGGGAATGAGAGGTGATTATGTTTATATTTCCAGGGAGGGCACACGTGGAGAGTCGCCTCCATAACCCTGGCGCAAAGACATAAGGACGACGCCCTCTGTCTACATCTTCACCATCACTGGGGCAGGGAGAGCCGTTGGGTCAGTTGCCCGTGGGAGGGGGACCGGGATTCACGAGCCCGCCCAATGGCCCAAGCCGAGAGGCAGCGACTTCACACCTTCCCGCCGGCTTGAGGCGGGGCTAGCGTTACCTCAAGCCCCGCCCCACCGCAACCTTTAGCGCGTGCGCGACACTGAGGCCTTGTTGGAAACATACTCCGCCTCCCTTATCCCCGACCCGGTAGTCCGAGTAAGGGGTACTTTAGTCCCGGAGAAGCGAATACACGTCACCACCGGAAGTAGTGTCAGAGGGGAAGGCGGGGGAAGAAAGGAGGAGGGAAGCCCTCTGGGCAGTAAAATGGCGCCCGTCAGAGTGGGAAAACCAGCTGCAGAGGCTGAGGCCCCGCTCCCCAGCAGCTAAGACACTCCCGACCTCGGGGAGGGGGAAGCCGCTCCAGCCTAGAGCTCCGCGCCTTTCGGCTCCCCCTCCCCCTCCTTCCCAGTTCTTTCGCTCAGCCGGCCTGTTTTCCGCCGCCGCAGCCCTTCGTGCACCTCTGACCCCCACCCGCCCCTTTCCCGCGAGCAGCCCCCTAGCGCGCCTGCGCAGCGGGCCACCCTCCGCTTCCCCCTTTCCCCTCCCCCTCCCTTCTCCTTTCCTCCCCTCTCCCTAATCCCCTCCCCCACTGCCCCCTCCCCCAATTCTCCATCCCCTTCCCTTCTGGTCTCGGAGGACCCCGTCCTAACCCGACCTGTCTCGGCCCGCAACCTTTGCGAAGCCGTCGGTGCCGCTCCCCGTCCATGTGGGCCCCCGCGGGCTGCCCACGCCTGTCCCCCAGCTCCCTGCTCCTCTGGGCTTTCCCCTCGCCGGGGGTGGCTTTCTGAGCCGCCCGCTCCGTGTCCCTCTCTGCAGCCTCACCTGCCACTCGGGGCCCCCGTTCCCCCTCCCGGCGGCGGGGGGCTGCCCCCGGGGGGCTGGCGGAGCTGGGCCGCGGGGGCCCCGGGGCCGGCGGTGCCGGGGTCATCGGGATGATGCGGACGCAGTGTCTGCTGGGGCTGCGCACGTTCGTGGCCTTCGCCGCCAAGCTCTGGAGCTTCTTCATTTACCTTTTGCGGAGGCAGATCCGCACGGTGAGCCTGGGTGGTCGCTGGTGGTGGCGGTGGGGACCCACAGGCGTTCGGAAACTGATGGGCCTGGTTAGGCCTAGGAAGGGAGTGCTGTCGGGGGCTGCTTCTGTTAGAGAATTAGGGCATCCTGAGCGGAGCGTGGGAGGGGTGGAGAGGAGGGAGACCCTTGTAGTAAGAGCAGGGATTTGGGGGACTTTGATGGGTCTAGACGGGGACAAGATTTGGTAACACTTAGGAGCTAGGTTGGTGGGTGGGGCGCCCTTTAAGAAAGCTGAAGTTGTTGCTAAAGAAATGGAGAGGCGGGGAACACCTGTTTGATGGCAGTCAGACCTGTTCAGGTGGGTTTTTGGAAGACCCTGCCATTGGGAATCTCAATACTTTTGTGTCAAGGGTGGGGGTGGGTGACAGAGCATATGTGACAAACAAGGATAAAATCTTGGGAAAAGCCCTGGTTGTGAAGGAGAAACTCCTGCTTTAAGGGAACTTCTCCAGAAAGGCCCGGGAACTTAATTAATTCATAGTGTGAACGTGAGTGTCTGGATTTATTGAGACTCTGGGACTACACAAGGTATCTTCATGATGGACTTATTTTAGTTAGAAAAGGGAGCACATTAAAGTTTGGGTGTCCCTTTCAGAAGAAGCTGCTTGTTGGTTGTCTGAGTTGAATCTGAGGACACAATTGTTTCTCCAGGAAACCCAAGCATTGCGAGGAACACTGAGCGGTGGAGACTGTGGATATACCCAAGCATCTCTGTCCCCTCCCCCATATCTTTTTTCCAAGGTCAAAGCTCCTTAGGCTAACATCACTTAATGAATATGCCCTTGTGTTCTCATCATTATTGGGGAACATTCTATGAAGGAACTAGGGAAAATTCAGTGAGCTGGGGTACAGAGCTTCTCCTGTCTGTACTCTGGCATACCTCAGTAAAAGCTGAAAGACTAAAACCAGGTAGGGCCTGCCCAGGTCAAGGGAATTGCCAGAACGTCTCGGATGGTGGTGGCGGTGGACTTCTTGATATGGGGGAATGGCCTGGCCTTTGATTCCTTCTCTCCTTTACCAGTCCTTCTGCTCCTTGATGGAGGGTGACAAATGTTCTGGATGGTCGAGGTTGTAGCAAGGGTCTGTTTCCCTGACACAGAGCTAGGAGCCAAGAGAAATCTTGGGTTGCAGATGCTGAGGTGTGTGGGGGGCTAGCTCCTGGGGTTTTCTTCCTGTGATAGTCGCTGGCCTCTCTGCCTGACCTTGGCCTGAGCAATCCTTGTCTCTCTTGCAACACTTCAGTTTTCTGCTCTAGGTGTGGAGAGTGGCACTCCAGCCATCCAGAGGGTACTTATTTCAGAAATTGCGCTCCTTTGGGCATCACTGACCTCGCAGCCTTTTGTCTTCCTTTCGGATCTGCTTTCTTCCCCCACCCCCTTTCTGGCAGATGTGTGGAGCATTCCCTGCATGCCCAGCATGTGCAACCTGAGATAGCGGAGCAGGACACCCGAGCTGTTTCGGCCTTCATCACGGCCCAGGGAAAAAAAGAAGAAGGGCAGATGCCTTGGGATTAGGAGGAGAGGGCTCTCTGGTTTGTAAGGGGGGAGCCTGATGGTGGTGAGGATGGGGCCTAGTGGTAGACAGAAGAGCATTTGTCTGTGCCTTAGAAGGGAAGAGCAGGGGAGGGAATTGCCAGGCTTTGCATGGGGAGATCAGGGTGTTAGGAAATAGAATCCCCAAGAGAAGGCTTGGGGAAGCAGGGCTGTAGGACTGAGGCGGTGACATCCTTGTCCCTTCCTCACCTCTCATTCGTAAGCCTGTGCTTCGCCATGGACTTCTCCATTCCTTGTCACTTAGCCTGGCAAGTGGGGCTTTCCAGTGTTCTCTGCCTTGCCCTGGGTACCTGGATAGGAGGCTGTTCAGAGGGTGGAGGCTCCTGCAGCTTGTGACTTGGCGAGTACAGACAGAAACGGACAGGTGGTTGGTTAAAATAGGCTCGGTGGCCCCCAGCCAGAGGAACTGAGCTGACCTGACAACCTCTGGATTCCCTCAACCTGAATTCCCCTCTGGGATCCAAGGTCTCCCCTCCTGACCTCTACTTCCTTGTGCACTGAGAAATCTGAGGCTCTTAGTTCCCCACCTAAGATAGGAGTTGCCACAAAGAGTCTTTGGAGATGGGGAAAGGACTGTGTGTTTCTTTGTTCAGTGTAGTAGAATGCCATGAGTAAGAGGGCGGGCTCTTGGTCAGTTTGTGGGTACAATCCTGGCTCCCCTAGTTCATGTATTATACCAATATTTACTGATTATCTGTTACACTGTTCTTGTTAGGTGCTGTCAACCCTTTTCAGACTTAATGGTGACCCCATGTGTGCAGAGTAGAACTGCTCCGTTTGGTTTTTAAGGCTGTAACCTTCCGGAAGCAGATCTCTAGGCTTGTGTTCCGAGGTGCCTCTGGGTGGTTTTGAAATGCCAACCTTCTGGTTAGTAGCCCAGCACGTAACTGTTTGTACCATCCAGGAACTCCTGCTACACTTTCTTGGGCACTGAGAATACACCCAAAAATCAAGATGGAAATCTGTGTTTTCATTCTAACTGGGGAAACAAACAACTAAATATAATAATTTCTAGCTGTGGAATCTCGGATGAGGCATTTAACTTCTCTAAGCCTCAGTTTCTTCATCTTTGAAACAAGGACAATAGTATCATTGTTACTGTTACGGTTGTTTTGAGGATTAGATGAAGTAATCCTAAATCACTTACACAGCACCTGGCATATGATAAATGCTTGATATTCATTGTCTATCATTGTCACTAATAGTCTCTGGATGGCACAGATAGTTAACTGAAAGGTTGGCAGTTTGAATCCACCCAGAGGTGGTTTGGAATAAAGGCGAGGTGTTCTACTTCTGAAAGAGCACAGTCATCGCAAACATTATGGAGCATAATTCTACTCTGAAAGGTGAAGTTGCCATGAGTTGAAATCAACAGCAACTGGTTGTTGTTGTTGTTACTGGGAGAGATTTCCTGGTCAAGGGCCTAACCCTCTGCCTTGCTATTCTTAGGTAATACAGTATCAAACTGTTCGCTATGATATCCTTCCTTTATCTCCTGTATCCCGGAATCGGCTAGGTGAGTCTCTTTGCTGGGAAGACTCCTTGAAGGTGAAGGGGGGTCCAGGCTCTGTGCTGGAGATCGGTTGGTATTATGCCTTCCCTTTGTGATCCAGGCCAGGTGAAGAGGAAAATCCTGGTACTGGATCTGGATGAGACACTTATTCACTCCCACCATGATGGGGTTCTGAGGCCCACAGTCCGGCCTGGGACGCCTCCTGACTTCATCCTCAAGGTATGGGGGGGTGTCACTCTGCGCACAGGAGGACTCTCTTTCCTACCCCAGAGCATCTTATCCCCATCCCCTAGTGTCCGCATCAGCCTAAAGGAGGGCGATTGGCAGTGGGGGCATCCTCTAGGGTTGTGTTGTGTGTGGAGCCCAGGATTTCCCCTGCCTTGCTCTGTTTCTCTGTAGGTGGTAATAGACAAACATCCTGTCCGGTTTTTTGTACATAAGAGGCCTCATGTGGATTTCTTCTTAGAAGTGGTAAGTTTTGGGGAGTGAAAGGGAACTCTGGGATGAAGGAATGATTTTAGGACTCTGGGAATTCAGAAAACTTGGAGGAAGTCAGGGTGAAGAGAAATGGGTAAGGGCAGTTTTAGACAAGAGAGGTTGTAGGATGACAGGAGTGGCTTGCAGTGATCAGTTTTATTTGTTGTGCTGATGTAATGCCAGTAATCCACAGGCATCCTGCTCTTTTGTTCTTGGGTCTCTGAATCTTAAGAATGTAGGATGCCTAAGACACCGAGTTTAGGGGTTTGGAGAAGCGTCCACAGTTTTGTGTCCCCAGAGACATTTGATGTCGCTGGAAGGCCTGAAGGACTAGGCTTGTGTTCTAGGGAAAGAGAACTGGATGGAAATATACGATCACCTCTTCTCTGATCCCTTTGTCTCTCCCACTGTATTTCAGGTGAGCCAGTGGTACGAGCTGGTGGTGTTCACAGCAAGCATGGAGATTTATGGCTCTGCTGTGGCAGACAAACTGGACAATAGCAGAAGCATCCTCAAGAGGAGATACTACAGACAGGTAAGGCACTGGCATCCAGAGTGAGGTTCAGGAGGCAGCTCACTGGGGAGAGAAGTGGATTTGAGGCATTTATCCTGGAATGGGATCTTTTGGGGGGTTTGGGGAGGCATATGCATAATTTTCTTTGCGGTAGCTGGCTGCCCTTGGGCATCCAACTTGATTTGGGGAAGCAGCCACCGAGGGCGAGTCTCCTTTTGATGCCCAGCTCACCATGCCTTCCAGCACTGCACTTTGGAGTTGGGCAGCTACATTAAGGACCTCTCTGTGGTCCACAGTGACCTCTCCAGCATTGTGATCCTGGATAACTCCCCAGGGGCTTACAGGAGCCATCCAGGTATGAGGGAAGGTGATGAGTTGGCCAGGACCAGGGAGTGGTTCTGAGAAGGTGTTCTGATTGCATGGAACTAGGGGCCAGGAGACCTTAAGTGGTCCTGGAGAACGGGGATTCTCTGGTTTGCTAGGGGTCTGAATGCAAGTTACCTCTTTATTTGAAATGACAGCCTTCCCCTCCTGTATATCCCCATTCATTAATCAGATTTCTCAGATCAGATTTGCTTCATGGGGCACAATGACAGACAATAGATTTGAATAGAAGCCTCCCATTAGTATGATATCTGGGTAATTTAAAAGTTAATCTTATTTTGGAGAATATATCAGAAGTGTTTTACTTAAGTTGTTGAGTAGGGCGGGAGGTTTATATTTTTAAAGAATGGTCCTCTCCAATAAACGTAAAAAAACCCACCACCACCTCCGTCTCTTGAATCCTTTGCTTCTTCCCATCTTCATTTTTACTTGAACTAGACAATGCCATCCCCATCAAGTCCTGGTTCAGTGACCCCAGTGACACGGCTCTTCTCAACCTGCTGCCGATGCTGGATGCCCTCAGGTAAGGGCACACTCCACACTTGGATTTCTGGAGAGGAGGAGGTGGGGATCCCAAAAGGGAATAAACGTTTGTCCTTTTTCACTTACTTCTTTTCCCTTAGAATTGAGTGTTTTTACCCAGATTTTCTTACTTAACCACTTTTAGCCATTAGGTTTTGGGCAAACTGAACTTTGGTCTCGTCTGAAAAATGGTGATAATTCTCTGTCCCATATCTCCAAAGAGGCTGTCTTAAGTTATTGTTGTCAAGATAAAAACTATAAGACATTCTACCAATGCAAGTTGTTGTCATCCCAGGTTCACCGCTGATGTTCGTTCTGTGCTGAGTCGAAACCTCCACCAACATAGGCTCTGGTGACAGCTGCTCCCCCTCCACCTGAGTTGGGGTGGGGGGGAGAGTGAGGGTGAGCCCTCAGGATCCCGTCTGATGCCCTGTGCAATGGTGAGGACTGCCTGGGCAGGTCTGCCCCTCCTACCCCTCTCTACCCTGGGAGCCACGTACTCCACTTGGAGTCTGGATGGACACATGGGCCAGACTCTGAAGCAGCCTCACTCTATCTTCATGTTCACACTCCCTGAAAACCTAGGAATGCTGAAATAGTGTCTGTGGAGTGGCCGGAGTGGCCAGATTTAGAGACAGACAGACAGACAAGACAGACAGACGGTGATCCTGGAGGCTCAAAGAGAAGCCAAACCAGCTTTGTTGTGATTTGATTTTTTAAAAACTCTTGTACAAAACTGATTTAATTCTTCACTTCTGCTCCGAGGGCTGGGTTGTGGGTGGGTGATTGGGATTTGGGGCCACTGGGTTTTCCCCAAAACTTGTCCCCTCTTTCTTTCCATCTATTTTTCTCTCTTCCTAGATTCCTTCAAACCTGTAACCAGCTTTCTGTTTTTCCTTCCTCTCTTTCAAACCATGCATTATAACTTTGAAACCAAAGCTGCCCTAGGTCCTTCTCTGGGGTTTGGGAAAGGATGGGAGGGGACCCTGTGTCAGAGGCAGAAGGTCAAGAGATTGCCTGTGGGCTCAAAGGGAAGGAAGGTGGTGGTGAGCGGCTGGCTTTCTGGGGATGGAGTAGAGAATGTCGGCATCGGGTGCTATGGTGGGAAGGGTTAGACACGAGATGGGCGTCCTGGTGGGGAATGGAAGGAGAGCTGTGAGTAATGAGGGAACTTGAGTTTCACAATACAGAAAAATGAAATGAGAAACCTGCACGCCCGACGGGGCATACGGTTTGGAAGAAAAAAAAGGTTTCGGCCGGGTGACTGATAAGCGGGGTGCTAACCTAAGAGGCTAGTGCCTTAAAGCCTCTGCTCTCCCCCAACGAATGACCCGGGTTAGGTCCCACTCCTGGCTCCAGCTTGGCCGGCACCACCTCCCCAGCGTCCGCCTCCCGAAGCCGGCTCTACTTCCGCGCACCCGCCACGTGACGCTCCGCCCTTCTCTGCGATCACATGATTTTTGTACAGAGCTGAGGTGTTCCTCCGCGCTGACGTAGTCCCTATCTTTTGGACCTCTCTGGCCTGCCTTAGTGCACTCATTCCTGGGATCTAGGCGTTTTTTTCTGTCTCTCAAAGTCCATAGTTCACTTTTGCTCTCTCTTATTTCTGGACACCACCTTCTCCACTTGGGTACTACTTTGTTTTGGTGTCAACGGCCGCTTTCAGCGTACCAACATGTTTCGTGAATAGGTCTCCTTGTAATTACATTATTTCCTTATTTTCTCTACATTAATTACAAAGAGTTTTTGGAAAACCAAATCTCATTATGATTACCATCTCCTTTTCATCCCCGGCTTCATGGGGAAAGGTCGGGAAAGGAATTTTCAGTTATTTTCGACAGTAACAGGAGCCAACCATCTTCCCTACGTCGCTTGCGTAGCCCACAAATTGATTCCAAAGCGATTACGCCGATGGCGTGTGTGTGTCTGTGTGTGTTGGAGGGGGCGTGGGTGGTGCTACGCCTGTGGCGGTAGGGCCGCTGCGCTAGTGGCGTGTTTCAGTAAGTGGGGCGGCCCCTGATGGTCGGGGGCGGGGTTGGTGAATAGGGAAGTGGCGCAAGTCCTGGGAATCGCTCCGCTGTATCCGCCCGCGAGTCGCCTCCGTCGCCGCCGCCCCCCGTCCCGGCCCCCCCGGGTTCCCTCAGCCCATCCCGGTCCAGCCCGGTCTCCGGGAGGATGAAGTTCGTGTATAAAGAGGAGCATCCGTTCGAGAAGCGCCGCTCTGAGGGCGAGAAGATCCGAAAGAAATACCCGGACCGGGTCCCGGTAAGGACAGTAGCCAGGGCCCAGGGCGCGGGCGCTGACGCTGACGCCACCGTCTGGGCTTTGGGTCTTGGGCGGGCAACGCGCGTATCTGGCTGCAGGCTTTGGCGGGGTCGGGAATGAGCCAGAAATTGCTGTCCCTAGGGCCGGGGCTGAAAGGAGTGAGGTGGCGGTCGAGCTGGGGGTGTGGAGATGTGGGTGGGAGAGAGAGATCGTGGGATTCGTGTGAATGGTGGCTCTAGGGAGTTTGACAGTCGGAGCTTCTCACGGTCATCCTCTCATCTAGCTATGCTTACGAAGTTGAAGCTCTAATCGACCAAGACGAGTCATCGCAGTCTGATTAATATCGTAGCTGTTTATGATGTTGCTGTATTTAGAGATTTGAGATGTTTAATTGAACTGGAGTCAGTAACATCAGGATTCCTAGACTCGGTGCTGCATTGCATATGCACAGACAAAGACAAATGAGTCTAGGGGAGGTTTGGGTGCTAGGAATATTGTTCTCTGAGCTGCAGGGCTTTATACCTAACAACTCCTAATTTTATCTTCCCTTTATCAGGTGATAGTAGAGAAGGCTCCCAAAGCTCGGATAGGAGATCTGGACAAAAAGAAATACCTGGTGCCTTCTGATCTCACAGGTGGGGACCTGACCCAATACCCATGTTTGCTTCTTGCCAGGGGGAGTGAAGCCTCAGTGGGGGAAGGCTCCACATAGGTAGGAGCTGTTACTCTGAGAACATCTGTGACCTTGTATCTTTGGCAGTTGGTCAGTTCTACTTCTTGATCCGGAAGCGAATTCATCTCCGAGCTGAAGATGCCTTGTTTTTCTTTGTCAACAATGTCATTCCACCCACCAGTGCCACAATGGGTCAGCTGTACCAGGTATGGTGACCAGGAAGTAATGGAGACGTTGAACAGGAGTTTTGGAAGAACTTGACAGGAGGAAATTTTTAGGTTAGCAGTTCTTGGGCTTGCTTAGCCTTCAGTTTTAGTTTTGACCTTAAGAGTGCAAGATAGTCCTGGATTGGAGGTTTGTACAGGACAGTGGAAGTACAGGGAAGGGAGATAACAGTGAGCTGCAGAACTGTTTTGGTCCAACTTTTTCCTAGTCTCCCTCCCTATTCCAAGGCAGCAGAAAACAGCTTGAGATCTTTTGCTCAGGACTGCTGCTAGGAATAGTACTGCTTGGCTGTCAAGGCCTGAAGCCACCAAGGGGGAGTAAGACGCTAGTTTTTGAGGTCTTCAGAAGGATTGAATTTTGAAGACTGTGTCTGGGCTACGGGTGGTTCAAGTAACTGAAGCCTCAGTGCTTTAGCACCGTCATTTTCTGCTTTCACCCCAGGAACACCACGAAGAAGACTTCTTTCTGTACATTGCCTACAGTGATGAAAGTGTCTACGGTCTGTGAAGCTGCTGCCCCTGAGGTTGTGTGTGGGGGGGTCCCGTTCTACAAAGAGAAAGGCGGCCCCCCTTTCTTGACCTGCCCCTCCTTCATCAGGCTCAAACACCATTTTTCTTCAGGACCCGCACTACTTAATGATTGAGGCTTTCTCTCCAGCTCCTCCTACCAGGAGGGGTAACGGTGGAGATGGCCCTTAGTACCTGTTCTTTCTTTTCTTCTTCTTCTTTCTCTGCCATCTTTCCCACTCTGCTTCAGACTTCTTCTTGGTTGTCAATCTCATATCCAGTGATTGTTTTGGTTTCTGTTCCCTTTCTAATTACCCAGGGGGCTCAGAACCCCAACAATCCCTTTCACTACCTTCTATTTTGGGGGTAGATGGAAGGGACTGAAATTGTTGGGGAGAAGGTAGGAGGCACATCAATAAAGAGGAAACCACCAAGCTGAATTGATTTTTGCCTTGTGTTGCCCCCTGTTTGTTTGTTGTTTTTTTTTCCCTTTCCTCATTTCCTACTCTATTCAGGCGTCAGTGGCTTCAGCGGTGGGGAAGGAGAAATGAGGACAGGCTGGACGGGTAGAAATGTATTTGGGTTTATTCTATTGATGTCCTTTTCTTATCTGCATAGAAAAGTGCGTTTGTTATGATACGTAATAGGATGGAATACTCTTGTCATTTTATGAAACTTACGTTTTCTATATGTATATGTATTGGGTATGGTGGAAATTACACTTTTTACTGTGGGTTCTTGTGAAGAAAGTTTGAAAGCACCTGCTGTAGCTAACCACATGCAAGTTTGTTATAATCTTCTGGATTATCGAAGAGATTTTCTTGAGTGGAAGCTAGTAAAAGAACTCTGTCCTCAGTTGCTTGTAACCTAGCCAGACTTTGTGCAGTCTTGTGGGATCCACTGCAGTGGGGTCAGGGAGGGAGTTGACGGGGAGACGGAGCTATTATTGTTAAAGAGAACTTCATTTCCCAGCAACCTCTTCTCCGCCTGGCCGGATATGGGGCTGTCCCTCGGAGGAAAGAAGATTCAGAATGAACCTGTATGGTGGCCGAGAGTTCTAACCCCTTCTTCCTCTTGTTTGCTGGTCCGGCCCAGCCTACATTTCCCAGGAGTCTTCGCGCGCTCTTCCGCTCTCCCTTCTCGCTCTCAATCTCTCCGCCACCGCCACTCCCCGGTGGGGGAGGAGCGGCTTAGTGCTCTTGCGCAAATCCGTGGTTTTCTGGGAACTGCAGTCCGTAAGGTTTATGCAGTCCCCTTTCCTCGACCTTAGAGCCGACTACAAGTCCCTTGGTGCCTTGCGCATCGGCGCCGGCGGAGGGAGGGAGGAGAGAAGGGGAGGGAGAGGAGGAGGAGGAGGGAGCAGGCGGCCGGCGGCGCGGGGGGAGGGGGCCGGTCCGGGAGTGCGGGAGGCAGTGGTAGAGGGAGGTGGCGGCAGCGGCAACGGCTAGCGGACTCAATTCACAACTGAACTGAGGCAGACACCTCCGTGGAGCGAGTCAGTAGAAGCACCGAACACCGGAGGCGGCACCGGGATCCCCGGCTCAGGGGAGGGGGCGCCGGACCGGGAGAAGGGGAGGGGGCGATGCTGGAAGCCATGGCGGAGCCCAGTCCCGAAGGTGAGCTCTCGACCGGCACAGATCGCTGAGCCGGCGGGGGGCGGGCGAGGAATAAATTGGCAAACTTGGAGGTCGAGCCCCGGAGTCCAGCGGGAGAGCGCGGGGAGGGGGTCGGGGGCCTGGCCCTGGGGTGAAGAGCGACGAGTTGAGACCTTGGAGAAAGAGGAATGGGAGCCTGGGCTGGGGATAGTTGGAGATCCAAGGCTGAGTGTGTGTGTGTGTGTGTGTGTGTGTGCGCGCTGGGGGGGGTAGAGCGATGGGAGGTGGGAGCTGGAAACCGGGAGCCTCGGGGGTTAGGGACCAAAAGGGCCTTCGGCAGGTTAGGGCGCCAGAGCTAGGAGGTTGGGGGAATGTGGGGGCCGAGAGTTGTTGGGCAAGGGAGGACGTGATAGCTGAGTAAGGGGCGCGGTAGTTCCCCGGGGTGGGGGGAGTTTGTGGTGGTGGCTCCCGAGCTCCCGGTAGTTGCCGCCAGAGATAGCCGGGTAGATTGCTGGAGGGTTGGGCAGGTAGTTGTGGGGGGAAAAGGGGGGTCAGGTTATTGTCTGTGGAAAGGGGACCTGTACCGAAGGTAGTTGTGAAGAGGGCCGGGAAACGAGGAGAGCTGGGTAGTTGCAAGGGCCAGAGAGGGGTTAAGACCGGCGAGTCGCAGGAGGGGAAATTGGTCGGTGAGGGTTAGAGCCTGGGAGTTTCGGAGGGTGAGGGGGGCGGCAGTGGTGGGGTTTTCTGTGGAGGAAGAGAGTCACTGGTTGCGGGGGGGCTGGAGTTTAGGGGTCCGTAGCTTAGTGACTTGGTGAGTATGGGGGCGGAGGGAGGGCGGCCGGAGAGAGCTCGGAACTGGGCCCGGGGGCCCGGCGGGGAACCCGAGGAGCTCGAGACGGGGAGGGGCCAAAGCCCCGGATGGGGGCGGAGGGACGGCGAAATTGTGGGGAGCGCGGTATGGGGGGAGGGCAGGTGGGGCCGCGTCCGGGTTATAGCTCGTTGGGCCGTCCCGGACGCGAAGTAGCGTGGAATGTATGTTCGTGTGTGTTTTGGGTAGGGGTGAGGGGCGCGCCGGGCCTCGTGCTCGAGTAGAAGGGGCCGGAGGGCGGGGAGCGGTTCAGCGTGGTCATTCTGGACCCTGGGGGCCAGTGGGTGTCGTGTGAGGTCCTAGAGAGCCCGGAGCAGTAGGTCGCGGCCGGGTAGGAACTCGGGCCATTGGGCGCGTTGTGAAGGACGAGGGCGGGTGGCGGCCCGGGCTCGGCCGGAGAAGCGGTGTGGCGGGTCAGGCGTTAAGAGGTCTGAGTAGAGTGAAGTCGAGAGAAACCTTGAGTTGCCGGGGGCAGCAAGGCCTCCGGTGGGGGGAAGGGGTGCGCTTTAGCGAGGCCTGGGAGGGCCCCGAGCGTAGGCTCCGCCCCTCGTAGGACGGGAGGGGAGCAGGGGCGGATCCAGTACAGCTGGGGGCCTACTGGCTGGTTGAAGGAGCTGAGAGAGGAGGGGGTTTGGGATCTCTAAGGTTTGAAGGTGGGCATTTTAACGTGGACTTCCCTGTGTCTGAACTCAGCTTTTATCGCTTTCACAGATCCACCTCCGACCCTTAAGCCAGAGACTCAGGTGAGTTTTCTTTTATCTTTGAAGCTCAGTATCTCAGTTCCTCAACCCCCATGCCTCTTTTCAGCTTTCCCATTCCAGGGACTATGCCTTTGGAAATGCCCCTCTTAAAACTCCAGTACCTGGCCTCAGTGTGACCCATTTTTCCTTCCTTTCAGCCACCAGAGAAACGGCGGAGAACAATAGAGGATTTCAACAAATTCTGCAGTTTTGTTTTGGCTTATGCTGGTTATATCCCGTCTAGCAAAGAGGTAGGGACAGAACTGGTTTGAGGCTGGTGTCCTAGGACTCTTGAGAGGCCATTGAGCAAAAGAAGCTATATTAGGTTTTTTTTTGGGGGGGGGGGTAATTAGTTTATGTGTAAAACCTGGAAAATTGGCAACTTGAGGACTATTGGGAAGACTATCTTCGGGGGAGATAGTAGGGATAGGTGGCTGGGGTAGCAATGCTAGAAGGAGGGGCTCTTGGGTTATTTGTCAAGAATTTGGAATTGTTTTGGGGTACTGTTAGTGGAAGGTGCTTCTGGATAAAATTCAGGGAGCAGAAAATGGTAAGAAATGAGGCTGTACAGAAACAGCTGAAGAAAGGTGCCTCTGGTCTGTGGGATTCAGTGTTCCAAAGGCCCTGGGCCAGGGCAGGAGGACAGATGGTTAGAATTTAAGGGCAGAGGTAACATGGAAGTGCTCAAGAACGAATGCTGATAGGAATTGGGTTGTGGATAAATATTCTGAGTATAATAAGATGTGCTGGATGGGACAGGATATTTTGGGCGTAGATTTGGTCCTTGATTTTCAGGCCGGATTTCTGGAAGGGCCAATAACGCCACTGGACCCCCAGCTGACCCTGGTGTCTTTGCTTTTAAGGAAAGTGACTGGCCAGCCTCTGGCTCCAGCTCTCCATTGCGAGGTGAGAGTGCAGCAGACAGTGATGGCTGGGACTCAGCCCCGTCAGATCTCCGAACCATCCAGACCTTTGTTAAGAAAGCGAAGTCATCCAAGAGAAGGGCGGCTCAATCAGGTCCTACCCAGCCAGGACCCCCAAGGTCCACTTTCTCTCGCCTACAAGCCCCTGACAGTGCCACCCTGCTTGAGAAGATGAAGCTCAAGGACTCTCTCTTTGATTTGGATGGCTCCAAAGTAGCATCTCCCCTGTCTCCCACATCCCTGACACACGCTTCCCGGCCCCCTACTGCTCTCACGTCAGTGCCCCTTTCCCAGGGAGACCTCACCCAGCCTCCTCGAAAGAAGGACCGAAAGAACCGAAAATTGGGGCCAGGAGGGGGTGCTGGCTTTGGGGTACTGCGGAGGCCTCGGCCAGCCCCTGGTGATGGGGAAAAGAGGTCTCGAATCAAGAAGAGCAAGAAACGGAAGTTGAAAAAGGCCGAGCGGGGGGATAGACTTCCACCTCCTGGGCTTCCCCGGGCACTTCCCAGTGATACAGATTCTGAAGAGGAGGAGGAGGAGGACGAGGAGGAGGAGGAAGAGGAGGGGATGGCAGCAGTGATAGGGGGTGAAGCCCCAGCTCCTGTGCTCCCAACACCTCCTGAGGCTCCTAGGCCCCCTATCACAGGCCCCCCTGAAGGAGCCCCTCCCACTGACAGTGAAAGCAAGGAGGTGGGCAGCACTGAGACAAGCCAAGATGGAGACGCCAGCTCCAGTGAAGGCGAGATGCGGGTCATGGATGAGGACATCATGGTAGAATCAGGTGAGGAGGTTGAGGGCTGCTCGAGGGCAGCTGGGAGATTGGGGTTGGGGGTGCTGTGGACTCAAGAGCTCAGACAGAATATCAAACCAGTCTCCTTTTTCCCAGGTGATGACTCATGGGATCTGATCACGTGTTATTGCCGAAAGCCCTTTGCAGGGCGGCCCATGATTGAGTGCAGCCTGTGTAGGACGTGGATCCACCTTTCCTGCGCTAAGATCAAGAAGACCAATGTCCCTGACTTCTTTTACTGCCAGAAATGCAAGGAACTTCGGCCAGAGGCCCGGCGGTTAGGAGGCCCTCCCAAATCTGGAGAGCCTTGACATCTCCAACGCCAGGCTGGAACTTCCGAATGACAACATGACTTGGGAATAGAGCCTCAGGGTCCTCCGCCCAGCTCCTGGAGCTTGGACGCTGTCCCACTTCAAGGCAGAAATTCCCAAGGGAGACTTTCGTGGAAATGAGTGTCTCATGTTCCTATCATCCCCACTCTCCTCCCCCGCCAACCTCTGGACTTGAACTTGGACCCACTGCAGTTGGGGGTGGGAGGCTGTCTGGGTCCCTAGACACAAAATCCCTGCCCCTTGGACCTGCCATCCCTCACTTTCTGGGCCAGGGTTGGAATTGGGATGGAATTTTAATAGAGTCTATAAAACTCTAGTGTAAATATAGCACTCCCCTCCCTCATGTTTCTTTTCCTATCTCACTCATTTATTTTCTTATACACCGGTTGTATTTTTAATTTTGAACTTCCCCTTTTGGGCATGGCAGCTCAAAGGTGGAGTACCAGAGCTAGGCCTGGCGGAGGGATAAAGGAAAGCAGAAAGGTGACGTTTCTCTTGTTTTTAATAATACCAGCTAGCTGTTTGTACAGACGACCTCTGTGTTGTAAATAAAGCGGAGTGGGCTCTGTTGTGTTTATAGCCCTTAACTGTCCTGCTTGGGAGGGAGGCTTTGGAAATGCTGGGGGCGAACACCTCAGAGCCCCAGCTGGAAATGCCTCTGCTCTGGGCCTCTCCTACCCCAGGATGCTCAGGCCTCTTGGTGCTGCCCCACCCCGCTATACTACTAGCCTAAGATCCCCATAATTACAAGTCCTGCCCTCACCCCCACAGGCAACGCTCTAGCAGATCAGAGTTGCCTCAAACTCGCCACCTTGGTGGGGACAGGTTGCTCCCTGTGCTTCTGTCTGGGTGCTCGGAGGACGCGGGTGGGGACACCTTTGGGGGCGGGGCCGTTGAGGGTTGGGAGACCGTTGCTGGAGGCAGCGATCACGTGGGGGCACAAGGCGGGGCCGTGTCACGTGATTGGGAGGGGGTCACGTGATGGAGGGACGGTACTAGGTGGGCCGAGTTGGGCCACGTGACGTGGGGAGAGATGGGCGGGGCACTGGAAGGCGCTCACGTCGTCGGAGGCGGAGGTGGTGGCGCGCGGCGGAGTCCGCGGCTTCGGGTCGCGCCCCACGTCCCATCCCCGCCCTCTGCCCTGCTGCCTCGCTGACCACCACCATCCTCTTCCCTTGGGCACATCTCGCGGACTGGTCCGGTCCTGTCCGCCACTCGCACGTCAGTGTGCGAGTGTGCGCAGGCGCGTTGGGGGTGATTAGCCCCTTTGGGTGGGCGGCAGAGCAAGGGAGCGCGCGGGCGAAACCATGGCGGGCAGTGGTGCGGGGGTCGGTGGTGTCGGGGAGACCAAGGTGATTTACCACCTCGATGAGGAGGAGACTCCCTACCTGGTGAAGATCCCTGTCCCCGCCGAGCGCATCACCCTCGGCGATTTCAAGAGCGTCCTGCAGCGGCCCGCGGGAGCTAAGTACTTTTTCAAGTCTATGGATCAGGATTTCGGGTGAGCGCGAGGCCTAGACTGATGCGGGCTGTGCTGGATTGGATTGGGCGATTTTGAGGGGTACCAGTCTATTCTGGCGCATACTCGAATTTTTCTGGTCCGTAATGGAGCAGATTATACTATGCTGGGGGTAGTAGATTGACTCTTTGGGGACCGACAAGATTATGCTTGGGGAGACTGAGGTACACGGAGCTATAGGACAGACTGGCCTATCCTAAACCAGATTAGAGAAGATTAGGCTGTACTGAAACAGATCGGGGCACACTGGTTTGTATGGAGATATTCGGGACTGGCCTGAGCCAGGTAGGTCTGCCCTGTGTTGGTCAAGTACATTCTGAGCAGTTTAGTAGCACACAGACATCTCCTGATGTAGATTGGACTGTCTTGGTGCAACTTTGGGCTTCAGGCCTGTGCTGGAGCGGACAGGGCTGTGTTGGACGTTTTGTTGTTAGGTACTGGGGAGTTGATTCCAACTCATAGTGTCACTGTAACAGAACAAAGTATTTTGGGTCCTGTGCCATCCTCACAGCTGTGGGTGTATTTGAGCCAGTTGTTGCAGTCACTATGTCAGTCCATCTTGTTGAGGGTCTTCTTTTTCAGTGACCTTTTATCAAGCATGGTGTCCTTCAGGGATTGGACGTTACAGTGTTCAGTAATACAGACAGTACTGTATTGGGATGTTCTAGGCTGTCCTGAAGTAGAGTAGGCTGTCCTGATGGGACTTAGGCCGTTCTGATTTCTACCGGGGCAGACATTGTACTGGTTGATCTAGTTTCTGTTGGGGCAAACGTGGTTTTACTGGGTCACAGCACCGGAGCAGACAGGACTGTTGGGGGTGTGTAGTAGTATAGACAGCCTTATTGGGATATTTTAGTCTATATTGGTACAGACAGCTGCGTGTGGCCATGTTCTAGGCTTTGCCAGAATAGATGGAGCTATCCTGGGGTAATTGGGAACATTTTGGATTATCCTGGGCTGGACTGGGACTATAAATAATGCAAAGTAAATTCTTTTGTGTGCACAGCCTTTGAGACTGAGCCTCTCTTCCTCACCCTCAGTTCTTCTGAGGATTAGGTTGGGACAGCGTGACTGCTATGTAGAGCAACAGATTGACATTAGGAGAGTGGTACTTTCCTCTTGGGAGTTACTTTGAATTTAAGTCAGTGTTCTTCAGTTTGTCAGTAGTGTAATCTTGGGTAATTTATTGAATGTTCGTGCCTAGGTTTCCTCATGTATGAGGTGGAGTAAAATATTTAATTATCAGGTGCATGGCCCATGATATTCAGTGAGTGGTAGTTAGTATTGGGGCTGACTGGTCCATGAACTAGGAGCTCTGGTAGCATAGTGCCTAAGGCATTTGACTGCTCACCAGAAGAGTGGCGGTTCAGACCCACCAGCCACTCCTCAGAAGGAAGATGGGGCAATCTACTTCCGTAGTGATACTGCATCGGAAGCCCAAGGAGAGGTTGCTGTGAGTCGGATCTGATTTGATGGCAGTGAGTCTTTTTTTTTTTCAGTTAGTCCATAAACTAAGGAGCTATGGTGGTGTAATGGATAAGGCATTTGCAGCCTTTGTGTGGAAGGAAGATGGGGTAATCTACTTCTGTAAAGATGTATATCCTTGGAAACAAACGCAGTGGGTTTGCTATGGGTCTGTATTAACTCGATGTCAGTGAGTTTGGTTTTTTGGTTCAGTCTATATACTAGGTTATGGTGATACAGAATAACTTGTCTTAGATTAGGTTGGGTTATACTGAGACTGGGTAAGTTGGGAAGGAAATAACACTATTTGGTAGTGACTGAGCTGTGTTGATATGGACCAGGTCACTCTGACAGCAAATGGATTGAGTTGGCATTTGTCTAGGTTCCCAGAATCATAATAAGCAAAGACAGGATATCCTAATTTAGGGGTAAGGTTGTATGTATGAGAAAGGAGGACCCAGAGTAGAGAGTCTCATGGTACATATGTTATTCATTTAGTCAGCAGATACTTGCTTTTTCCTACTAAATGCCAAGTATCATGCTGCATAGTCAGGACATGCTGTTTATCAGGATAGACTTTAATGATTTGATACGGGGGTCGAGAAGGGCAAGTTCACCGTAAGGAACCCAAGGAAGTACTGACAAGACTGGGCTTTGGGATCTGCCAGGTAGATACTTCCATCTGGAACAGATTGCTTTGGGCAGAGTGCGGTGTCAGATGAGGCACAGGGCATCAGAAGATGGGCTTCCCTCCTCCTCGGGTGTTCGGCCTAGCGCAGTACTAGTCTTTGGTCTATTGGGCGTTTTCACATAGATGAAGATAGTACATTTGGACAGATCTCTGGAAGCAAGCTAGAGAAAACTAAAGGAGAGTATGAGTAGAGGAGATGTAGGTGAGGACCAAAGCCTTTTTTGGGAAGGTGTGAAAGGAATAGGGATAGATCTACAAGCCAGGCTCCTGAGATTAAATACATATTTTGACCAGCTAGGAGCTCTGGTAGCGTAGTGTCTAAGGCACTTGACTGCTAACTAGAGGGCTAGTGGTTCAAACCCACCAGCCACTCCTCAGAGGGAAGGCTGGGCAATCTACTTCTGTAGTGATACCACCTCGGAAACCGAAGGAAGGGTCGCCATGAGTCAGGTCCAACTCGACAGCAAATAACAACAACGGGGTGACCAGAGGATGGCCTTGGAAATTGGATGGAGAGGTTTAAATCAGACTCAGGGAAGTCTTTGGAGCAGCATTAAGCCCCTGAGGATGAGCTGGGAAGAGAAGGAAACATTAGGAAAGGGAATTGAATTTGGAGAGTTCTTATGGGTGGGAGGGAGCTGGTTCACTGTAAGAGAATAAAACTTGGACTAGAGAGAAAGCCAACACTTTTGAGCTGGATGGGACAATGGCAGAGACTTTGAAATGGTAGGGAGTTGGGAATTAGTTCCCTTTCACCAACCTTTATTTATCTCGTCTCTCGGCAGGGTGGTGAAGGAAGAAATTTCTGACGACAATGCCCGCCTTCCCTGCTTCAATGGAAGGGTGGTGTCCTGGGTAAGGGGCCCTGGCTCTGAGGACCCAGTGCCTTCTGTGTTGCCGAGTTCCACGAAGGCTCAGTCTTTTTCTGCAGACCTGCCCTTGCCCACTTGCAAAGGCCCTGGGCTCTGCCTTCCTGCTGTTTTGGAGAACTGGCTAGAGTCCCTCCGCCTATTCCTTCTGGAGTCTCTCCTGCTTGCTACTGCCTTTTTGGCCTCTTCTCCAGGTTCTTTCAGACGCTATACCGTTTTCTAATCCTTTCCCTAATAGTCATCATGTATGCCCAACCTCCTGATTGAGCCATTTTGTATCGTTTGCACCCTTCCAGCTAGTGTCATCAGATAACTCGCAGCCTGAGGTGGCCCCCCCAGCCCACGAGCCTGGCACAGAACTGGTGCCTCCGCCCCCACCACTGCCCCCTTTGCCCCCAGAGAGGACCAGTGGCATTGGGGACTCCAGGCCTCCATCTTTCCAGTGAGTTCTTGGCATTCTTGCGTCCAGGGAAAGGAGGTGAGGTGGGAATGCAAGCCCCTTAGGAGGGGAAGTGGAAGATTGGGAGCCCTGTCCCACTGACGGGTGGAAACCATCTTTGCCCATCCAGCCCTAACGTCTCCAGCAGCCGTGAAAACCTGGAGCCGGAGACAGAAACAGAATCAGTTGTGTCACTGAGGCGGGAGCGGCCTCGAAGGAGAGACAGCAGTGAGCATGGCGGCGGTGAGGGGCCAGGCCCTGGAGGCTGGGCAGAGTGGGAGTGGGAAGTGGTGCAGCAAACCTGGGCCTCGGTCGGTGGGGGAAGGCAGCATGTGGCCTGGTTCCTGAGATTCCCGTTCGTGCTAAGGTGGGGGCCACAGGCCCAGCGGCCCCTCAAGGCTGGAGCGCCACCTGGCTGGGTACGAGAGTTCCTCCACTCTGATGACCAGTGAGCTGGAGAGCACCAGCCTGGGGGACTCTGACGAGGATGACACCATGAGCAGGTACGGCTCCATAGGCCTCTCGCCAGGGCTTCCAGCCCTCTTTCTTCCCTCCTTCTAGACAATGCTCTCTTTCTTTTGGCCCCCTGACCACTTCTGCCTTGAGTACTCTTGTTTTGGTCAGCATTCTCTAGAGAAACAGAACCTTGAGATATATTTATGGACAGTGTGTCTTTGTGTATACATAGAAAGAAAGGGGGAGAGATTAATGTATTTTACGGGATTAGCTCACAGTTGTGTAGGACTGGCAAGTCTGTAGGTCTAGTGACAGAGTGAACACTCATGGGATTATGAGGGATTGCTGGCAAGTCCACAATCAATAGGGCAGGTGGCAGGCTGGTGGAAAGACTACAGAGTGGAGAGAGCAAGTTTGCCAAAGTATCTGAAGTCTAGAGGCAGACTATATTCCTAGGAACTTCTCTTTTAACTGATGGATCGCGTTATGGAAGGTAATTACCCCGTAATACGTCACATTACGTTTTCTTATAGAACAGCAGGTAGTCTAGTGTTTGGCCGAATCACTGGGAAGCATAGCCTCCCCGAGTTGACACAGGAAGTTAACCATCACGTGTTGCCCTCGTCCCGTCAGGTTCAGCAGCTCCACCGAGCAGAGCAGTGCTTCCCGCCTCCTCAAGCGCCACCGGCGGCGGAGGAAACAGCGGCCGCCCCGTCTGGAGAGGGTAAGAGGGTCCCTGTGGGAGGACCGGGAATTGAGAAATTGAGGGCACGGCCTTGGTTTAGGATTACTCGGGCACAGACAGAACCCTAGGGCTTCTCCCTGGATTGTCGAAGGGTATTCCAGCTTCTTCCCCTTTTCTCACCACAGACCTCATCTTTCAGCAGCGTCACTGACTCCACAATGTCCCTGAACATCATCACAGTCACACTCAACATGGGTATGGAGGGAGCCTTGGCTGAAGGGTAGAGAGGACCTGGCTTTCTGGGGAGCATGGGTTTGGGGCTTCCCCTCATCACATGGACTCTCTCCACAGAAAAGTACAACTTCCTGGGCATCTCCATTGTGGGCCAGAGCAATGAGCGGGGAGATGGTGGCATCTACATTGGCTCCATCATGAAGGGCGGGGCCGTGGCAGCCGATGGGCGCATCGAACCTGGAGACATGCTTTTACAGGTATGTTGCGGTGGGGCCCCCAGTGCTGACCTGGGCAGGGGCTCTAGGCCAGCCCACCAGCCCTGACCCTGCCTTTGACACACTTGCCTCACTTTTAGGTGAATGACATGAACTTTGAGAACATGAGCAATGATGATGCTGTGCGGGTACTGAGGGACATCGTACACAAGCCGGGGTGAGCCCCTGGGATGTGCTCAACCCCCAAGGCCTCCCTATCTGCCCCGTTGCCCTTCTGTTTTGCAATCATAAAAAATTGTAAAAGACAGGACTCTGTGTAGCATATGAGTACTTACAGAGTAGATGCCCACGTGGCTGTGCGTAGATCACAAAATGGATTGCCTGTATTCCAAGGGTCCCTTCCTGCTCCCAGCTCCTTGCGCCCTCTGGAGGTAGCCACTCTGCTGGCTTCTTTGTCGTTCCCGTAACAATGGAAATAGTTACTTGTGTCCTTGAACAACCCAGTTCAGTTTTATCTGTCTTTTGGATTCCTGTGCTGTACAGTGTGTGCACTTGTTCCCCTAGCAGTGTCTCTGTGAGAGTTGTCTGTGCCATTGAGGTGTCTGCATTGTGGAACCTACCACCCACCCCTCTGGCCCAGCTGTGTATGTGCTTATTCTTTGTTTCCTCTTTTTGTCCCCAAACCCATTTTCATCCCAGGTCTCACCCTCCTGAGGCCTCTTTCTGCCCGTCTTCACCTCCTTAGGAGCCCTGGTGGCACAATCGTTAAGCACTGGGCTGCTGATAGGTCAGCAGTTTGAATCCACCATTGGCTGTTCGGGAGAAAGATGTGATGATCTGCTTCCATGGAAACTCTGTAAACCAACAACCAAACTCACTGCTGTGGAGTTGGACTCGACTCGTAGCGACTCCTCTTTAGGTTTCCAAGGCAATATCACCATGGAAGTAGATTGCCCAACTTTCCTTCCGAGGAGTGGCTGGTGGGTCTGAACCGCCAGCCTTCTGGTTAGCAGTCAGATGTCTTAGGCACTATGCCACCAGAGAACCCTATGGGGCAGTTGCACTCCGTTCTGTAGGGTAACTATGCATCAGAATGGATTCAGTGGCACACAACAGCAACAACAATTCTCCTTTCCCCGATTGGCCTTTTCTTCTTCCCCACAGCCCCATTGTGCTGACCGTGGCCAAGTGTTGGGATCCCTCTCCACAGGCCTATTTCACACTCCCTCGAAGTGAGTGATGCTTGGGGAGGGGCCTTAAGCTGAGAGGATAGGGTAAGGCCGGGAGGCTGGGCTGGGGCTCGGAGGGATGGGAGGTAGATGGAGGAGGGTCAGGACAGGTAGGATAGGTCTGAGGGAGCGACAGGGCTGGCTTCCTAGGACTGGGGATGATCATCTTGGTGGCTTTGCCTGTCCCAGACGAGCCTATCCAGCCAATTGACCCTGCTGCCTGGGTCTCCCACTCTGCTGCGCTGACTGGCACCTTCCCAGCCTATCCAGGCTCCTCATCCATGAGCACCATTACGTCTGGATCCTCTCTGCCTGATGGTGAGACCCCACTTCACCTTGTCCACCCCTCTGGGTGTGGGCCCTACCCCTGAAGCCCCCTTGTGTCCTCTGGCAGGCTGTGAAGGCCGGGGTCTCTCCATCCATACCGACATGGCATCTGTAACCAAGGCCATGGCAGCCCCAGAGTCAGGGCTGGAAGTTCGGGACCGCATGTGGCTCAAGATCACTATCCCAAATGCCTTTCTGGGTACGGTGGAGCTCTGGCCAGGTGGTGTGGGAAGGGGAGGAGGAGCCCAGAACTGGGAAGGGCACCAGAGGGGCAAGGGTAGGAGTCAGGGAGGAGAACCTGAAGCTGTTTTCTCTCTGGGCATCCAGGCTCGGACGTGGTTGACTGGCTCTACCATCATGTGGAGGGCTTTCCTGAGCGGCGGGAGGCCCGCAAGTATGCCAGTGGACTGCTCAAGGCGGGCCTCATCCGGCACACCGTCAACAAGATCACCTTCTCTGAGCAGTGCTACTATGTCTTTGGAGACCTCAGTGGTGGCTGTGAGAGTTGTGAGTCCCCTGCCCCATGCCCAGGAGAGGGCCTTTGGCTGCCTTGTCTGGCCTTTTCAATCCCCAACCCAGCCCAGAAACGGCAGCCAGAGCCACTGTGCCCAGTGGTGCAGCCCGTGTCACTGGCCAGGGAGGCAGTGGAGCTGAAATCCACCAAGCGCTGCTAGCAGGGCAGGCCAGGCACCTGGTTCAGGGCCTTGTCTGTGGGAGAAAGGGAACTTCTTAGTTACATAAAAGCTTGTGGGCTTGAGGCACTGGCTTTGCTCCTCCTTGATGGTGGCAGTGGGGGAATTTCCTGTCAGAGACCCTCAGATCATCTGTGTTGACCCCCATCACGGGTGGTTTTGGGGAAATGGTGCCTACTTTCTCTTCATTCAGGCTTCAGATCCTGGCCTCATGAAGCAGTGGCTTCTTAATCTCTTCCTTTTCAGACCTAGTGAATTTGTCCTTGAATGATAACGATGGTTCCAGCGGGGCATCGGACCAAGACACCCTGGCTCCTCTGCCTGGGGCTACCCCGTGGCCCCTGCTGCCCACCTTCTCCTACCAGTACCCAGCCCCTCACCCATACAGCCCTCAGCCCCCACCCTACCATGAGCTTTCGTCCTACACCTATGGTGGAGGCAGTGCCAGCAGCCAGCACAGTGAGGGTAAGTCGCCCCCAGAGATTGTACAGCCAGGGTCTGAGGGGGCAAAGAGGATGGAGCAGGGTTGGGGAGGCCCAGGGACCCTGGGCTAGGGATCAGCTGCCCACCCCTCTACCCCCACAGGGAGCCGGAGCAGTGGGTCAACACGAAGCGATGGGGGGGCAGGGCGCACAGGGAGGCCTGAGGAGCGGGCCCCCGAGTCCAAATCCGGCAGCGGCAGTGAGTCTGAGCCCTCCAGCCGGGGGAGCAGCCTTCGACGGGGCGGGGAACCTGGCGGGGCTGGTGATGGGGGTCCTCCCCCGTCCAGGGGCTCGTCAGGGGGTGCCCCCAATCTTCGAGCTCACCCAGGTCTCCATCCCTATGGACCACCCCCAGGCATGGCCCTCCCCTATAATCCCATGATGGTGGTCATGATGCCTCCCCCCCCACCCCCTGTCCCCCCAGCAGTGCAGCCCCCAGGGGCACCTCCTATCAGAGATTTGGGCTCTGTGCCCCCTGAGCTGACAGCCAGCCGCCAAAGCTTCCACATGGCCATGGGCAACCCGAGTGAGTTCTTTGTGGATGTGATGTAGACCCTCCAGTGGGGCCTCCAGTCTCCACTTGGTGCTCCTGCTGTGATTGGTGTTCTGTCAATCACTTGCTCACAAAGCCTCCAGTGGCCCTGGCTCAGCCTGGTGGCTGCTGCCTGCTGTGAGGCTGTTGCCACTGTGACTTTTACCAGCAGTGCCTGGTTCCTCCCTCGAGTTGGGGGTGTACAAGGGACCTTTGGTTATTTTTAGCTTTATTACTTTTTTTAATAAGCTTTTTTGAAGATGAAAATAGACTTTCTTACACTTTTTGGAGTATTTTTTATAGACATTTTCTCTTTTATATGAAGAATCTCCCTGTCTCTTGAGCCCCTCTTCTAACCCTGAAATGTGACCTCCTATTCCAGTCACCCAGTCAGCTCTGCTTTGTGTGGGGCCGTGGGTGGTCAGTGGTACCCTGGGAGGAGGAAGGGGGCTGGTCACCCCAGACAGCGGTCGAAGGAAGCTGGGGTATTTGGTATTTGGGGCTCACGTAGCTGCCTTTGTTACTCTATTTATTTTAGTCACTTGTATAAAACACCAAATAAAGCAATAGAGGCAAACTGCCCACTGCCGCTGGTTCCTTTCTTGGGGAGGGAGGCAGGTAACCAAGGGAAAGAAAACTAGCAAAGCGTGACTTATCAGAACATTTATTTGTGAGGCAGTTAGTATCCCTTCAGAGTAGGCACAGTCCTGGGGACAGGAGGCCCCCTTCAAGGCAGGACCAGGGCCTGGAGGGAGAGGGTCTGGGCTTCGGCTTGAGAGAAGGCACAAAAGTGGGCCAGGCCCTGAGTAGGAGTGCTTAGAAGCCGAGGGGGTTGCTGGTGACCACCCCACCCTGCTCCACCAAGGCCTGGGAGATACTTTTGAAGTTGCGGAAGAGCTCCTGCTGCTGGGGGTCCGAATGCAGGGCGGCCATGTTCTCCCGGATCCGGGTTGCAGCCTATGAGGGGGAGAAGAGGGAGGTCAAGGTGTGCCTCAAGCCCCCCTCCCCACCCCGTTCCCCATCTGCGCTAGGTAACCACGAGTCTCACTTCAATACACCAGCTGTCACAGAGCATTTTCTCATGCTGGGCTGTGGGACTGCCCTCGCTCAGTGCTCTTGAGGCCCTGGTGGGAAGTAGAAGGGAAACAAAGTTGTATGTTGTGATCCTGGCCCAGGATGCCCCTGCGGCTCAGGCTTCCATACTGCTGCTCACCTGGAGAGAACCACCACCATGGCATAGAGGTCAATGGCACTGTTTGCCAGGCGCTGCAGCAGAAACTGCTCCTCTGTCAGGTAGATGGGATGGGATAGAGTGGGAGGGGGGGAGGGGAGTGTTAATCTGAGGGGGTGGGTAGAAGGGGATGGGGATGGGGATGGAGTAGAGCTCACTCACTGACAATCCCCTTCTTATGTTTTATCAGTTTGGCCTCCACAACAGTGGCGAACTGCTCCAGAGCCTTCACTGCCTGAGGAGATTGAAGGGGGCACGGGCTCAGAGGGGTCCTCCCGTCATCCTTGACTCGGGGGTCCCTCTACCCCTGGCCGCTTACCAGGTCGCCACTCCGACTCAACTCGGGGTGGATAATTCCACTGAAACTCAGGCCAGTGCCCAGCCCTGCCCGCCTGGAGGAGGAGAGAATGACAGGTTAGTTGCCACATACCACCCTGCCCTTTCCTGGTCTGAGTCTCCTACCTCTAACCTTACCTCCTCAGCTGTTTGCCTGCCTCTCCTAGCAGGAGGCCAGCATTCCCAAAAGGATTCTTCAGAGCGTTGCCAAGCCCAGAGAGTTCCTTTCCTTTGTCCTGTGGGAGAGGAGGGTCCATTGCAATAGTCAGGACTCACTGTCTTCCTCACCATGTCTTCACAATTCTCCGCCCCTTACCATACAGCCTTGCAGAGCCACGAATAGCCGGAGAATGTCATTTGTCCCCTCAAAGATCCGGAAGATACGAAGATCACGTAGCACGCGCTCTATCCCAGGCTCCTACCATTGGGGACGACAGCTTATAAGCCCCTGCTGAACCGAGCTCAACCAGCTCTACCTGGCTCACCGAGGCTACTCCATGCAGAGGACCCCCACGTACCTTCATAAAGCCCATGCCCCCCATGATTTGGATGCACTCGTCTGTCACCTCCCAGGCAGCCTCCTAAGGACAGAGGAGCAGATGAGATTGATTTGGGAGCCAAGCTCCTAAACTGGACACTCCCTCCCAACATAACCTCTGACCTCACCGAGCCAAAGATTTTGCTGATGGCGGCCTCTATCTGGAAGTCCTTGGATCCCTGGTCCATGTTGGCACTCACCATGTAAGCCATAGACTGAGGTTGTGTGATCAGGGCATAGGAAGGGAAATTGAAAAGAGTTGCACCAGACCCAACCTGATACCCTCAATCTCCAAGATTAACTCTGACCAAGCTCCACGAGGCCCACACAGTCACCTAATGCTACGTGTCGTGCACATCTAAGTCATTAGTCCCGAGTCAGTTCATCAAGGCTCTTCAGGCATATGACTTCTTCAAAGGGGTCAAGAAATAAGGGGTGGGGTGGGGGTAGAATTAACTTTTGGAACCTCTGGGAAGCACCTCAGCAGAATAGCACCCCTTTTCTACAGAAGCTGAGCTGACTATGCCTCTCCGCATCCCCTAGGGCATTGGTGTGAAGCTGGAGACCCACTGCCCCAGGTGCTGCTGGGGGTTGTAGTCTGACACAACTGGTCAGAAGGGCACCGGGCTCCAGGTAGGGTGGAGCGGCCCTCACCTCAGTCACATACTGCAGCATAGCCATCCGGGCCAACTTCTCCTGGATCACCCCAAAGTTGTGAATTTTTTCCCCAAACTGGGTTCGGTTAGTAGCATGATCCACCTGGAAGAGGGCGCACAGGTCACATGGTGGTTCCGCAGTCTCCTAGGAGAGAGACTGGAGGGATGGGCTTTGGCCAAAGCCACGGAGTCAGGCCTGGCTGGCTGGAGGCCTAAGCTAGCAGGTCAGAAGCTACTGTGGGGAGAGGTTTTCTGATGGAGGGAGTGCCTGCAAGGGAATGAGGACGCACGGAAAGGGAGCAGTGTGGCTCAGATTTAGGCTAACCATAGGGTTGACAGGCATTGGAACTGACTTGACAGCAATGGTAATAAGAGGAGCCTGGCAGGGTACTTACAGCCTTAGCAATGATGCCCTTCATTGTGCCTGCAAGGGCTGCGGCCATGCCAAACCTTCCATTGTTGAGAATGTGCATGGCGACCTTGAAGCCACCCCCTACTTCGCCCAGCACGTTCTCTGAGGGCACCCGCACCCCATCAAAGTACACCTCTGCTGTATTTGAGGCCTTGATGCCCATCTTCTTCTCAGGGGGCCCACTGTAACAGGGTGGGATAGAGAAGCAGAAGTGTGTTGAACAAGTTGCCACCAGGAGAAAAAACTGCCCTTCGTCCCTTATGAACCAAGGAGGAACGATACACTCCCAGACTACAAGAGGTGTACAAATCACGGTCCCACCATGCTTCACCATGGGCTTGGCTCAGTTTTAAAGAGCTAAGCTTGAGATCTGTTTCATACATATTAGCCCCAACCAGAACGTGCTTACTGCTTTGTTTTTTTGTACCCCTCCCCTCACCAGTGATGACATGTAATAACCGTGTGCCCCAGAGCCCAGTATTGCTGTCTGTAGGCTCTGCCTCTTCCTCCAAAACTCACTGGGTAACACCCCCAAAGCTCCTCTCCACAACAAAAGCTGTGATCTTCTCTTTCACGGCGCCCGTGGATGCATCTTTAACTGGTGTTTTGGCAAAGACTGTGAAGATTTCTGCCAGGCCACCGTTACTGTGGAGGAATGAGGGGGGCAGTCAGGGCAAGAAGGACTGGGAACAGTGGGGCCTGGAATGAGGCGAGATGGAGGAGGAGACAGGAGGAAGATTGCCTGATCCAGAGCTTGCTTCCGTTGAGGGTGTAGTATTTTCCACAGGGGCTGGGCACAGCCGAGGTTCGGATGGAGGCAGCATCTGACCCACTGGAGGGCTCAGTAAGACAGAAGGCAGCCATAGTCTCCCCTGTTGGGCAGAGAGCTCTCTTACGTGAGTCCTGACGGGCTTCACATTCCCCCAGCAGCTCCCCATTAACACCTCTGGGCCCTGCGCATTCCCCCACCAGCACACTGTGAGCTGCCCCAGAATCCCCCAGCCATCATGTCCGGGTCATCTAAGTGCCAACCAGCTTAATTTGTGCCAAGCCCAGAACACCCCCCCACTCCCTATCTCCAGGGCTGCCTCACCAGATGCCAGTTTAGGGAGGTATTTTTCTTTCTGGGCCTTCGTGCCAAAGAGCAGGATGCCTTTGAAACCGATGCTCTGATGGGCCCCCAGGGTGATGCCCACAGCGAGGTCATGCATGCCCACGATCTCCACCAAGCGGGCGTACTGCAGGGGAAGCAGGCAACTGGCTGTAAATGGCTGTCTGGGGACCTGCCTTGGCAGGAGCATAGAATAGAGCCAGGCCTGGCCTGGGCCATTTCCACAGAGTGTGGAGAGAGGAAGAGGCCCAAGGAGAGGGCGCAGTTGAGGATGCTGTCTGTCCCAGCTACTGGTGGGAGGTCTCCACCTCAGAGATTCATTAGGGCTTGGGGGCCAGGGTTAGGTCCTTGGCTCTAGGGGACAGCATCTAATTTCTTGGTTTTTGTGGGTATGTATGTGTTCATTAGGAGCCCTGGTGGCACAGCGGTTAAAGTGCTCAGCTGCTTGCTGAAAGTTCTGCAGTTTAAACCCACCAGTCACTCTGTGAGAGATAAGACATGGCAGTCTGCTTCTGTAAAAATTTATAGCCTTGGAAACCCTATGGGGTAGCAGTTCCATTGTGTTGGCAGTAGTGGGTCTTAAAGTGTGTATACAGTAGGGAGGGGAGGTCTGGTGGCACAGTGCCTAAGGCATTTGACTGCTAACCAGGAGGTTGGCGGTTCAAAGCCACCAGCCACTCCTTGGAAGGAAGATTGAGCAATCTACTTTCGTAGTGTAACTGCCTCAGAAACCTAACAAGGGGTCGCATCAACATCTCACAGGCCCAGCAGTTACTTGGCAGAGACCTTGGCCCAATAATGAACAAAGCCCTGGACTGGGGTCCCAGAGAGTGACTGAGGGGTTCCTCTCACCTGAGTGTTGCAGAGGCCCACACCACCCAGCTCACTGGGCACTTGCAGACCAAAGGCCCCCAGCTCTTTGAGGCCCTTTAAGGTGGTCTCCTCCACCTGCTCCATAGTGTCATTCTTGGCAGGATCATTCACCTCCTGGGAAGGCACAGGACCCCACATCCAGGCTCTTTATGCCCTTCAAACCTTAACCCAGTCCTCAGCCCTCAACTCTCCAGCCTCAATCATTCCTTACCTCAAAGAAACGGGACACGGGTCCCACCAGTTCTTTGAGAAACTGAGTCTGCTCCTCGCTGAGCACTGTGGGACGTCAAAGCCAGACTGGTAAGGCAGCAGCCGGAGGACGGGGAAGCAGCCCTGCCTCCACCCAGCTTTGATGACTCCTGCCCTTACCAGACGGGTATGGGAACACCTGATCGGTAGTGAGCTGGCCCTTAAACATCCCC